GGCAAACTAGAGGTCTATTTTTATGTTTCAGCCAAGATTTAATGTATGGGGCTGAAACATTGCTAGGCTGTGTTATTTTTACCCCCACACTCTATAGGCTCTATTGGTTAAGCTGTGAAATGCTGTCAGAAGAAACAGCAACTGCACTGTGCTTGTGGAAACTGCACTCCCCTACATTAAGGAGGTTATTTGCCTTGACTCTTATTCCTTTACCTATTTATTACTTAGTTAAAAAAGCTGCATAATTTGTAAGTGGCCTGCCATTACTAGGAACTGCAGAGATTCCAACAGAAAGTCGGAAATTTCAGAGCTTACAATGGAACAAATAAATAAGGAATCCAGGTTCCCACATCTATTCCAACAAGAGTAATATCAGAGCACAGAACAGCAGAAGTCTTGACCAGGGCTATTTAAACAGCTCTCATTTTGGTATTTCTGTCTCTCCTTGCTTTAAAAGCCTTCCAGGATCAATCTACTGTTAGCGTTGTATGGGTAACAGCAGAAAGGAGAACATGCATGAACATCTGAGTACACACAAGGAAGAAAGCTGAGCAAGACTAGGAGGTAATGTTGAAAACATTCCTTGATATTCCTGCCTGCTTTTGTTCTTCCTCTTTTTATCCCATCCTCTATCTCCCAGCTAGGCTTTTCTGCCCCTCTCCTGAACCATCCTGATTTATAATGTTCCCATGTTCCAGGTGACTCCCAGCATAACATAAACCCCTGAGAGCTGCCCCTGTCCCAGTCTGGGTCCTGTGTGCAAATGGAGGTCAAAACCATAGTTGAAATTGGACTATTGTTGAAAACAGCCCATCTGTTCCTCACTCTCATCACACCAAGCCTTGCCCGTCATCACCAACAGTGACTCCCGGAGCTCTATCCTGCCTGTTTCAAATCATTTGAGCTCAGAGGAGCTGGAGATGGCTGAAATACATTTTTTTTAACACATTCTGGACAGCCAAATGCATAAAGACACAGATGTACTTAGACCATCTCCAAAGTCAGCTTCTGTTTGGCTCCACACTGAGCTGGGCAAGGATGTCAAACGTGGCTAAAATGTGTGCTCGGTTAAGGCAGGGGCCAGAAAAAGCCTTTAGGAATGTCTAGTGGGACTGATTTCCTCCTCTCTTTTGTGTTGTTTCCTCCAGATGCTTTAATATGAGGACAGACAGCCCTTGATCTTGTGATGGAGACTGCCCTGATGGGAAATGTGCTGTGTGCCTTTATCTGAGAGGCCCTGGGTTGGAACACCACATGTGTGGGGTGATTCTCTGGAGTGCCAGGATCAAAGTGGAATCTCTCAGCATTGTCCATTCTCTGCAGTTTTTTGGTTGTGAGTCTTGGCAGCACATCTGGGGACAGTGCCTGGTTTCAGAGTACTGCAAGGTGGACCAGGATGTAGAACAGCCACTTTTCTAGATTTGGTGGCTTCTGAATGGCTCTATGACAGCAAGGTCAAGGTTGCTGCGGCCAGGGCTGTGAGGACCTTTCCCAGGTCCTGCATTGAGAAGGAAAGCCACACTCTCTATTTGCAAAACTGAAAGATTTTTCCTCCTTTGCTAGTGGTAAACTGAGTACCTTGATAACAAAGCTTGTTCACTCACTCCTGACACTGAAAAGCTTTTCTTTCACACACAAGTCATGTCCTTCCCCACCTTGTCACCACACAAATATCACTTTGTCCCTAGAAGGTTCTTTCCCTACCCCATGCAGACACCAGGTGCCCAGCTGGCACCCCAGTCCCTGGTCCTACTGCACTCTAACCAGTCCAGGACAAGTATTTAATATCGTTCCAAGGGACAAAGCCTCAGGGCTTTAGATGTAATCAAGGGCAGAGCTGCCCAGAGCCCACAGGGCGCACCAGCCAGAGATCATCGGGGCAGGACATCACTAATCTTGTCCCTGGAGACACACTCAGCAAGACAATGCTTTTGCTAGGAAAGGCAGTTTTCCCTACAGAGTGTTGTAGGAGTCACGGGTTCTTGTGATGCAGATAATTTAGTGACTGCAGAGTGCTAAAGCTCTCTGGAGCTGATGGGATACCCAACAATCCTAGAGGTGCATTATGAAAGAACTCAAAACACTACAGCATGGACATGAGCAGTGTCCTCCTATCTGCATGGGAGAGAGTAGCAGGAAGAGTGGTGTACTGGCATATGTCAGGCCATCAGAAACAACATGTGCTCCAAAGGCACACAAAGCTGATCTACAGACTGAAGAATGTTGGCATTTTTGACACAGACACCACAGAAGGAGAGAATTATCAAATTGCATTTTCTCAGGTCATGAGCAGGTTAAATTCTAGAGGGAACAGAGGACCATCATAGATAAGCCGACAGTGCTGCATCTTGATGAGTTACGGCATTCTTTCCTGACTGCCAGAACAAGAGAGTTCAAAAATAAGTGGTAGCAATTTCACATTTTAATTGGCACAATTGTAGAAAATGCTCCTTGGCAAGTATCAGGTATTATGTCTAACAGACCAAGCATTTGTCTGCAACAGACTTCCTTTGTGTGACAAAGGAATAAATAGACATTATGCTACCTTATATGGCCTAAGCGTCACCTTGTGAGAGAGATAAGTGATGACTCTGAAATGAAGCTGAAGTTGGCAACGATAATGCAAACAAGAGGATACCTTCAGCATGAGTGGCGACCCCAGTGCATGAATAGCACGATTCTGATTTGTAATAAAATCCTATGCTATTGTTTGTGTGTGCATTAAACACCCTTGTAGTGAAATATATACTCGTGTTCTCTCCCAGCAAACTTCAGAAGATAAATTAGTGCTCTCTTATGAGTTAAAGCCAGAAACCTGCAGACAGAAACACTGAAAAGAACTGGAGGTCTGTTCAGTCTCTGTGTCTCAAAGTTATACAGCACGGCTTCAGCAACCACTTCTTGATGAGGAACTGAATATCCACTGTGATGGTTCATTGCCCCTATCCTGAGAGACACGTGTGTTGCCAAAATTCTCTCTCAAAATCAAGCCTAAATAATGTCTTCCTTCAGACCACTAATGTTTACCCCACCAGCATGACTAACCCCTGCTTCCATTTTTACCTGTCATGTACTTGTGCACTACTGTACCTGAATTACTGTTTTAAGTTCCAGGTCAGCTCATTCAGCCCCTCACGCTCATACATCTTCAGGGGCTTTTCTGATGCTTTACGTTCAGACTCTACACCACATCGTGGCTCTTCTTTTTAACGTCTGTAGCTTTTCTATATAAATTCCAAAGCGAAAAAGCCAGAAGAGTACCGATTTTACTCCCCTTGCCCAGAAGAGCGGTGTGACTAATTCGTTTAGAGGTAAGTCAGCACCCTCTGGTGTACCGTTAGTGTACTGGAAATTTCCTTACAGATAAAAGGACTAATTCCTCAGGAAAGCAAGAAAAATTCTGTGAAGACAGATGCCTAAGAGATTAATATGTAAACTTCTGGGCTTATTGGAAGATAGAAGAAACACTGCTTTTTTTCCCTTCTTCTCTTCTTAAAGAATAAAATACCAAATTCAGTATTTTCAACTTTGTTTGAACAAATGCTAAAAGCACTGAACTTGGCAAATGACATTCCTTAAACTGCTTTTTAAAATTATTTTTCCTAGCAATTATTTTGTATTATGTAAGAGCCACTTAGATGTAAGTTTTGAAAAAAATTCACATTATATTTAGTGCACTAATTGCTTTCAAAATTTTCATTTTTTTCTGAACTGGAAAGCAAAAGGGTGTCATTCCAAAGCATTTCTGCTGAGTATGGGTAGCTCCCATGCCTTTGCTTTTTTACCCAAATTACATTCCAGTTCCTCTTCAAAATGCATTAAAGAGCTGTAACATCTCTGAAGATGAGGTTGCTGGATTTTTTTTTCCTTCAGGATAGAACTGTGGGCTCAAACAGATTAAGTGATACAGGTTAAGTAGAAGCTACTACTAGATACTAATAAGTAGTTCAAAGCAGAAGTAAAATAATACAAATACTCATATACACTTCTTTTCTTTACTGATGTGATGCTCCAAGTTCTCCTCTCTACCTACAGCCAAAAAGCACAGTCTGCTTACCAGAAAAGGTAAACTGATGATTGCCTGAACCATGAGGAGTGCAATCAGATTTTATTAGCCTCATTTTTCAAGCTATTCTAGCTCATCTGGACCTAAAGGAGAGCAGAAAGTTTTAAGAGTTACACTACACATCTTTATTTGTATATGTCTATTGCATTGTAAAATTAAGTCTTTTGAATGAAAGCCTGCTTGAAAGGAAATTTACTGTGAGATTTCACTGTTTTACCAGTGATGGTAATTGGTGAGTGATCTCAGGTAAAGTTAGGGTCAAAACAAAACAAAAGTATTTGATGACTCAGTCATACTAAAATTTTGCCAGACATGCACAGTAATGGTGGAAATGTGAATTTAAGAGGTATTCTCAGAGGAAAAAGTTGCAGTCTGGCCCTTTCATTCAGAGTCTCCAGCTGCTATTTCAGTGCAAGAGTAAAGGTAATCTTCACCACGTTTTGTCTCTTCATCCCAGTCCTCCCATTTCACTCCACTTTGGGAAGGAATCATTGCTACCTAAGTCAAATGGTAAACTTCAGGAAGTGTGGAAAAGATACTGTGTTATGAGACTGGTAGAGCCCTCTAGAATGTGACATCCCTCAAACCTTACCCCTTTCCAACAGCGCAAACTGTTTTGCCAAGTTCTTTTCCAAGAACCAAACTTTGAAATTCTGAAATCAATGCCTTAACACTTAGGTAATAAAGGCTGTTTATTTATATGATATATTCGAAGCCAGATTTGTAAAAACAACAAGACTTTTCACTTCTGTTCAAAACTGTTGTAGACGTCAATCAGAAAGATCAGTGATGGTTTAAATACAGCATTCATGCTGAACAATTAGCTGGTTTATGCCAATTTGACATTTTATTGAAGTTACAAATGCTTTGATATCCAAAGACCGTGTAGTGCTTCTCCAGATGTTTATTGACCAAAGAATTCACAGATGTTTGCTTATCTTTCTGCTGAATGTCCTCCAAAATTAGTCGATCCTAGAATAAGAATACAAGTACAAATGGAAAAAAACCTTGGTGAGACTAAAGGAAAACTTCCTTCACATAAACTATTTTGGGAACTTATACTAGGAAAATAAAATTATCAGAAATTAAAAATAAACCTATATAATGACAACTTTTCTATAGCTATTTTCATGAATGTAAATGCTCCTTTGTATTTATATAAAACAATTAGGTTTCTCTTTCCATAAAAGCATTTCTGCTGTGTTTCGCTTTCAGCTACACAAGGCAATCTCCAAAGCATTGTTCTGTATGTGAACTGCCATTAACTTGCAAACACATAGCTCAATGAAAATTAACACAAGTTCAATACAGTTTTTTTTAAACTTTAATTTCTCCTAATGTAGAGTTGCTCCTAGTTAGAGAGTCTATCTAATCTATTTTTAGTCTTTTTGTTGTAACTATGCAGAGCATCTTCTTTCTATCTCTCTTGCTTTGCAGGAGAAATAGCCTTTACTGTCCTCTCATCTTTCCCCTCTGGTCCATCCTGCTTCCTCTTTTACCCCAGTATTTTGTAGTCCTATCTCCATTCTTCATAAATTAGTTACTCTGCTTCCTCTCTAGCCTTTGCTCTGTCCCATGCACTGTTCTGCTCTCCTTTTCAACTCCCAACCCCTTTAATATTCTCACTTCTTCCCCTATTCCTTAACACATCTCTGTTTCTCTTCTCTGTCTTACCCTCTGCTCATTCCCTATTCATTGCTCATTTTCTGAAAGAGTTCACTGATTTGTTGATTTCCATTAATACTCCCTAATTCCTAATAACCAGATGACTAATACTCTACTTCTTACTCTCAGAGTACTGCAGTTTCCTTCTACTTCCTTTTTTTCCCTGCTGGACACAGTGAGGTGGCAGCTCTCACCCACGTTCTCAACATGTTCTTCAGTCATGCAGGAACTGTCACCTATTCATCCTTTTAATTACAGACATTGTTTTCCTTCTTTCCCACTATTCTGCTTTATTAAAGGACTCCTGTTGACTATCCCAGTCTTGTTATGACTCCCATTGCACTTTTCCTCCACTCACGTTTTTCTTTCCTCTACTCCTTAACTAAACAGAGATTTGCTGCACAATTAGTTTTTGCCAAAATACTGTATGTTTTGCATTCTTTGGAAATTGTGGGGTTTTTTTCTAGAAAACATTTATGGACATTATCAGATTTAAATCTCTGTTAAAATATTCTGAGGTGAAGCAATAACATTTTCACAGCAAATACTCTACTGGAAATAAGAGTAAGGCAAAATACAATCACAAACATCAGCATTTTTCATGTTTTGCTGAAAGCCTACTTCCAATTTTGAAATATCATCTTCACGTTGCTCATTTATTTCTAATCTATTGTCTCCTGTAAATAAAAAATAAGCTTCAATGCTGAAAATTTTTCTGGAAGTGTTGAATGTTATCTTACAAATACACTTGCCTAACTGTTGTCTTTGCAGAAGTCCAGAGATGGTGATTGGATGTCTTGCAGAAAGCTGTGGGGAAGGTGATGTAAGTGGATACAGCTGAGGGGTTCTGAAGTCAGAATTACCCCACGATCCCCTTCTACTGCTCTGTGACCCAGATGATGACGGACACCCGTTAAGTGGTAATCTTACAGGCGTGGATCTGTTGATGAAATGAATTCCTGCGTGTGATTTGAGGCTAGTGTCATAATAACACAAGAGGTTTCAAAATTACCTAAATTCACAGTGCTAATATTTTAAAAGAAAATATTACCAGAATGACATTAAAAATTATATGAGAATCAGAGACATAAAAAAATAAATACTTTGTTACATATATTTTAAATTTGTCTTTGCAAATACCTAGGAAGATATATTTGGCTTAATGATTGTAAGGAAAAAGAGCTTACTTTTTCTGGAACGATTTAAAGTTATTTCTTCATGTTAATAATTCTCACAGTTGGAGACATTTTCAGTGTTCAAATGAAAAACCTGAAACACCTGCTCCAGGCTGCATGAAAAGTTCAGGTTATTCAGAGAACAGCCCTTGAGCAGATATTGTGCTGTCAGCTCTGATTTTTATAAGAATGATAAAGCAGGGACATTGTTACACTTTCTTACTAGAAAATTACTACACTTTATATAGAAGTATCATGACTGCAGATGTCCACAGCTACAGAAAGTCAGACTACCTCAGCACATTTTTGAAAAAAGTGATTTCTAAATAGAACCTTCCACCAACAACAAACACATTCACTTAGATGATAGCCAGCCTGCACAACATTTCTTCAGACACAGGATATAACATTTAAATGTACAGATTAACTACCTTGTAGATCCTGCTCCAATACTTTGACTTGACATTATTAGAGATGACTGAGAACTTTTGTAGGCTACACTACCTGTAAGAATCAGATTTATAAAAACAGAACCAAGGTGAATTACCCATTTTCCTTAAGAGAGAACCTTGGAAACAAAGATTAGTACTTTAATTGCATGATCTGGGACAAAATCATGATTGGTTTATTCAAGAGTTAAAAATGGAGCACAATTACAGCAGTCAATGAAAGAGCTTAGCTGTCACCAAAAAAAAATCATACTGCACCACGCTGCAAATCATTTTCCAGTTAAACACACATGTTGGTTTCTTTCACCTGCTTTCATTTATTAGACTATTACTAGACTATCAAGATAGCTGTGCTGAGATGCTCCAGTTCTTCAGCTAATCCTCTTTTGCCATCCACCTCTGAGAAGGAAATTTTCTTTAGTGCACCATTAAATCATTGCTTCCACTTGCCCTTCCTTTTGCACGTACACTTTGATTCATTCAGCTTTGTCCACTGCCAAACTTTATGGGCTGCTTCTGAAATGTGCTGAACACATAACTGTTCTACATATAATTTTACTGTCTTAATAAATATCTATTTATTTTTAGACACAATAAAAAAACCAGTTAACCTCAGCTCCCTTTATCTTGTTATCCATAAATTTATAGGCAAGCATGCATTTAGGGAGGATCTGAGCATATAAATCAGACATAACATAGAAAAGGCAATTTTTCCTCCTTCATTGAAACTGCATTGCAACTGCATTTGTCTTTGTTTCGGGACATTTACACCATGTAAAAACAGAGGAGTGCTAAAAGCTCCTCATGGGGCTGGAGATGGATTCTATGAGCTGCTGAAGCCAAGTAAAAGCCTGCCTGGGAATGCACTGTCACAGAAACTTGCTGAATGTAAAACCAAGAACGAGAGGGACACATGAACAGCAGACCTGCAAAGCATTAGGAATTCTGGGAAACTCCTCACAAAGAGTTCTCAAGAGACTGCACTAATTTCAGTAGGCTGTTACTCATGTCTTATTCGCATCTGAGTGTCACCCAAGCTCTGCAACAGCCCAGGAATCAAAGAAAGTACTGGCAGGTAAAGCATCTCAGACTTTATTACAGTGATATGAATGAAAATAAAAAAATTACCTTTCTAAAGAAATTCTTGATCTCAACTTAACTACCTTACTTTTGTTATTAAATACTTTTTAAACTTCCACTTAGTTTCCCCCTTTTCCTCATGTTATTTTTAATATGACATTGTGGACAATGTTAATCTCATAATGTTAATTATGAAGGTTAAAAGAGGGTCAATAATGTATATTGCAAGTATTCCTGTTCTCTTCAACCACACACATTGTATTTTCTTTGCAACTGTTGACTTGGACAGAAATCAGTTTGGCTGCAAGTAATAATTTACAGAACAGAAGAGGTAGGTACTAGGAAGACATTTCATACTTCACTTTAAGCATTTCCCATCTGCTGGATTGATGCCTACTTGGCAAGTTCCTTGCACCTCAACACTATTCAGGTTTTTTTTAGTAAATTGCTAATGTATGGATTTTAATTTATTGATCCTTTTAATGTAATAGAAATCTTATTCAGCTACAAACGTTACTTTTACTCACCCATACGTCCATCCTGTGGTGGAGTTATTACTGACAACCTTGTGGGACCAGATGGTGTCTCGAGCTAAATGAATGGCAAGTCATTAACCACTGTGTAATAAGTATATTAATTATAAAGGCATTTTAAGCAACAGTGTTACATTTTTGAGGTCTACAAAGCCTGCAGATTTCTGGAACTCTCCACTGCCAGTTTTATTCATATCACCAAAACGGCAAAACCTAAGAATTAAGTTACTATTTTTAGAGATCTATGGGCAAGGGGGAAGTCCATGTATTTTAGTTTTATTCTTATCTGTCACATTCAGATAAGAAATATATCAGACACTCACACTATTTTCTGTGCTGAGATTCCATTCCTAAGCTATCATCTGTTCCTGGACGTTACCTCTGCAAATCAGGACACTAATACAGTGAAAAGCTCCTGCCTTTATTCTCATGTTAGCAACGTTACTCAAAGCTTGCAATTCCCTTCTCAAACATCAAAGTCTAACGGTGCTTTCAGACCACTGGCTCCACACCTGGCTTTTTCTTACCATGGGAAGATACTACACACACTTTGATGCCCCTGAGCACAGACAGAAGCAAGATCACATGGTCAAGCAGCAAAGAGAACCGTTTACAAAAAGTGAAAGATAAGGACTGATTTTATTTTTGGGTTGCAAAAACCTCTTTTTATCTATCATAAATGAAATTTCATTAATGTTTTGAGAGTCAGTGTGATGTGTAGTTAAGAATGCCAAGGGATTCACCTCTTGCAACTCCAGACATCTGCAGTGACAGTATTTACATCCTGATCCCCATAAATTCCCTTTATGGTCAAGGAAGAGAAACAGGAATGAGACCAGAAAGTTTCCTTTAAAAAGAGGTGAATCACACATATCATAATCCATAGGTTATGCCCACGGGCCTAACCATCGATATAGGCCTATCTATGGATAACTTATCCATAGGCTACAAAGGAAACCCTGAGATGCTAGCACAGATCTGCACTGTAGCCAGTAGGTAAAGGTGAAAATCTTACTTATATTTCCACTCCTTAATATGTTAGAACTTAAATTTAGTTGCAACTCTCAGTTGCATGGATTAGCAACATTTATTTTTTTAAACAGATATATTTTTGTAATACAAACATACTGAGATTGTAAGAATTTTCCATTTAATTTGGCATCACAAGTTTAGCATATCTGAAATCAGCATGTACATTAGAATTGTTTAGAAGGGGATAGGGGGAGAATCCTATTTTTTGCAGCATTAAGAATAGGACAAATCAAAAGCATGTATGTGTGTCTATATACATATATTATATACATATATTATATACACATATACATTTAAAAAAACACTTACTCTCCTCATTGGTGAAGGTACAGGATCAATCTCCATTGCCTCCACCCTTGCAAGAAAGGTCAAAATAAGTATGACATTGTAATAAAAATAACATTTTCATTATAACAACTAAAATTTTATTAGATTCTGATGTTAAATTTGACTAATAATGAAAAAGCATAATGCATAACACATAGGAGTATTTAGGACGTATTCCAAAACCCACTAGCAGTAAGAAAAATCTATTAATTGATTCTGAGCTTTAGTTTAGACATTTACAGAGAAAGTTATTTTATGATCAGCCTTGCTATTCTTGTATTTAAGTCTGAATAAACATGCATATTTATATATTTGTCACCTTTCTCCAAAACCAGGAGGATTCTGAAATTTTATTTTTTGATAAAAAAGAAAGTCACAATCATATCTATAGAAATATCTTCACTTGAGCAAGCTGTATGTTCATTTTATTTAAAATTAAAAGAGCCTTACTAGAGTTCATCCCATCTAATTTTTAGACAATTACAATGTACATATAGGCAGACAAGCCATTTAGTTTTCCCCTGTAGTAAATGGAAAGTTTCTCACTAATAATCTATCCACTAATTAATCTATCTGTGTAGTCTATGTATCTGTTTATCTATCCATTCATTCAGAAATTCTTTAGAATAAAGTCCATGATGTCTTAGATTTTTTTCCAGTGACTAAAAAGACAATCTATACAAGTAACTATTAAGTAGATAAGACTTTCCTCACTTCTTTCATATATAAACAGTTTGCAGAAACAAAACACAAAATCAGAAAATATACTTATTTTAAACTCACTACAAAAAAAATTGACTTTCTGTACAAAGTATCATTTAAGATTTTCGTTGAAAATTAACTAATTTGTACCTACGTTTCAGAAGCAGAAGGATGACTAGAATGAAGAGGATATGAAGAATAACTATTCTGTTTTCTTGAAGGAACTGAAGTCATTAAGAAATTTAATATTAGAACATAGTTATATCCAGTGATAGGTATTCCATAGTTAATATCTTAAACCAACACTTCTTACTGGAAAATGGATTTCTGCTTGTACTGGAAAAGGGCAGCTGTGGAGTTTTTTCAGGTGGTTTCATACTAAAGGAGAAACAACAGATGAAAATGTAGAGTTGGCTTGATTAGTTTAGGTTGATTAATAAAGTATAAAATCAAAGCATTCTATCCTTCAATAGCTGGTTTTAACATGACACTAACTGCCATGAAGCAAAATAAGAATTTATTTGATAAGATATGTATTTTTTTCTATATTATAATGTCTGTTCCCTAAAGTACTTTGCCATAATGTCTGCAACACTCAATGCATACCCAACAATATCAAAACAGTAGTTAATTTTTACTAGAAATAGAAAAGATGTGAGCCATGTTACAAAACTCTGGTAATTTTGTAAATGGGGTAGACACCAGGAAAGGTATCATAATACTTTCCATGCTGATGCTAGAAAACTCATTGCAAAATATACAGAATGGTTATGTAACTGCAAATAAAAATATAAAACAGATTAGTGTCATAGACTGAAAGTTCATTTTCAGAATAACCATTGAGTTGAATTTTAAAACAAAAGGATTTCTTCTTGACAGGATCAATTAGTGTGAATAAGATGGTTCTGATGTCAGAAATCACTATTCATTTATTTCTGTAAAAAGATGTAAAAATATATGAGAAAGGCAAACAAAGCATGACTTTTTTATCAGTAAACCTTTATATTGGCTGATTACACTTACTTTTGCTGCATTAAACCCCTTACCATTGTATCTGTTGTATTTGTTGTGTTGCTTTCTTGAGAGATTCCTCCAGCTTTGCTGCCTGTGAGATAATCATAGATTTAAACAAAATCTCTTTGTTGTGAAACACAACTTCATTTTCATCCAGCTAGTATTCTAAAGAGTTGAAAGGCTGCTTTCTACTGGTTTTAATCTTAATAAACCATTGCTATTCCAGATTATTTGGAGCTGATATTGATGTAATACAGATCCATCAAACAGTCAGTCTGGAAGAGATATACTTCTTTTTGGCAGTTACAGACTTAGTTTGATTACCCTCTGTTAAATGTGCTGGTAATATTGGATAAATGAATACTAAGAAAAGTGCTTAAAAACAGTTTTCTTTTCTTTTTCTTCCTCTTATCCATATCTGATATAACAGCTAAGTTATGTTTAATATGGAATTATCTGAAAAAGCTACCAATAACTGTAGAAAATACCAAATATGATCCCATATTTCTCATTTAAGATTTAAAATGTAGACAGTTCATTGCAGCATCTATTTGTAATAAGCTTAAGTGAAAAGTATCTCCTATTATATTATAGACACAATCAAAAACATCTCCATTAAAGAATGTTATGAGCTTGCAAAATTGAAGAATATTAAGGTCAAAAACATTAGGTCAGCTCCCTATTATGTATATTTTTTACAGTCTTTCATGACACAAACATATATTATATTTTATGAAGGATGTAAAAATTTACTCGGTAGCCTCAAAACTGCATCTATATTTTATCCTTAATTTCCACTGTGTGACCTTAATCCTTCACACTATTCATATTTTGATTTGAAGGTAAATTGTGAATTTGCTTAACTTCTCCTTCTCCTCACAATACTGGTTGAGTCATTTAATAACATTACCTGATATACCTTTATAAAATCATATTGTTTGTGGGAGATATTATGCTCTTTTTGCAGATGCAAAACTCTGCAAAACAGATTAAAAGCGAAATGTAATTTATATAAGATTTGTTTTTTGGTCTTCTTTTTCCTCTTCCTAATGAGAGCCGGGTTTGATTAAGAAAGTGGCCAGTACAGATGTCAGGAAGGATGTATTGTCACTCTGTAGGACTGGATAATTTTAAGATCAAAATGCCTTAAAGAAGGTGAATGACTATTTGGTTTCCAGCATATTGGGGTCCTGGCACAACACGGGGTCTAGACTTGCCAGGAATATGGATACAAGTTCCCACACCACACACCATTATCTGCACACTGGTATCTGCACAACTCTCCAGATCAGCAGCAAAGCAACTTTTATGAAGGTCATGAGAGCCTGTTGGTTGACAGTGACAAGGATCAGACACTAGAAATGAGGAAGGGGACCATAAACAAGATAGCCAAGCACGAGAAAATGGAATTTCCTCATGCAGTACTCCACCCTTCCCAAAGGCCAAGACCCATAGAGTGGAGAGAGGAAGGAAGAAGCACTTGTGTCAAAGGATAGATTTGTCCTTTGTCACCTCCCCAGGCATCACTGCATCTGCCAAGCTGTTCATACTGTAGAGCATTCTTGCTCCATCCTTTTCCCACCCACCTTCATCTCAAAGCCAGTGGCAAGACAACTTCCCTGGCTCCTTCAGGCTCCCTCCCAGTATCTCTGGAAGAGGAAGCACTGCTAACCAACACTCACAGGGAGGGGATGGGTCTATCATTACACAGGGACTCTCTTCTCTTCCTTGCTCACCTCAGCCTCACCGACAAACCATTTCTCCACCAAAACAACTGTGAGGCTTTTTTTAGGTGTTTAAGACAGTCTCTCCTGACCCCGATCCAATGCAAGCAATTTTAATATACTAACAAATGCACAGAATGGACAAAACAACAAAACCACCCAAAACAGTGGGCTCACTGAAGCAGCAACAAACTGTATTTTCAACTGTTCCGGTACTGTCACCTCAACACTTTCGTTAGGTCAAGCAGCATCCTTGAGTACTTTAAAACCACTGTCAAATTCACATCTCGGCAGTAAATAACTTAGAAACTTACCATCAAAAAGTACCAAGACTCTCTTCTTTGGAGATAACATCTTTATTTATGCTAAATTCTATTAAGAGATGTATTTCACTTTGTCTAATGGTTTCAGTTTTACCATCTGGAGTCAGCACAATAGATTAGAAGGGGAATGAAATCAGGATTCCTCCACAGCCTGGCTTTGAAAGCAGAAGGACAGAACCTTGAAAAAAACTACACACCTCAAAGTGTACCAGGACTGATCCCAAAATGCAGTCATGGAAAACAGGGATGAATGAGCCACAGAGCGTTTAAGTTTCCAAGCTGTTCTATCCATTTCAACCACACCAGAAGCTCTCCTGACACATGGAATGCCAACTGACCAGCTGCATGAGTTTGCCTCTGTCACTTCATATATTGGGTCGAGTCACCAACATTGCCAAGTAGCTTTCAGGGATATCCCTGTTCATGTCCTCAGAAATGAAGGAAACAGCCAACTATTTTATCAAACATTTAGAAGTAGCTGAAAAATGAAAAAGAAATTCGCCTCCCACTCCACAAAGGAAGAAGCACAGTCACAAATTCAGCACCTGTTCTCCACAAAATAATTAATTCTATCCTTCTTCCCACTGAGCTATCCCAAACTCAGGATACTAGCCCTTAGTCTTGTTCACTGCTCAAGCTTCTCATGTCCCTAGTCCTCCTTCCCTCTAGGTTTATCTTCTAGCACCATTTTCTCCCCACCTCTTCTACTTCCCTCTCCATACAGTGAATTGGTTTCTTCCTTTCTGTCCTTTGATTCTCCATTAAATCTTGATCAGCCCACAACTAAAATATTTTATTAAATAATCGTAAGCATAATTAATAAAGTCCTCACAAAATTTAAACAATTAAAACCTGGTATTTGTAATGACAGAAATTAGACAATCCTGATTAATTATTCTAAGTATTCCAATAAAAGATTAATATAGTTTCTAAAAATAAACCGAAGTAACAAGGTAAACACAAGAAAAAGTAAGAATATCACAGAGTTACCTTTTGTTTGTAGTGTACTAATAAATGCTTACGGTGTTTTTCTTGAAATTCTGAAATCTGAAAACAAGTACAGTTACATTAAGCTTCATAAAATTACATTTATATACCTCAGCAAAGAAGTGATGGAAAAGAACTATTTCACAATATTCAAGGTTTTCTATATTTTAATGAGTAGTTACCATATCTTCTTTAAGTCCTCTCAAAAAAAATCCCCAAAACATTTACTGTCATTGATAAGGTCTCACAAAGTTTAGTTAATCTAATATGACCTACCCTAGAGTTGGCAGATTTATTTCACTGAATTCATATTTTAACACTATGTTCAATAAAAAGGCAAAGACATTAGAAAGGCAGTTTAGCTGCAGTGTTTCTTATTCATTAGTGCTAAGCAAACACATAAAATTAATGCCAACATAAAAAGTAATCTGTCTTACTGGCAATTATAACATGCCTTGTAAAAATATCCTCTTAATTAAAAAATAATTGTTAGACACACCGCCTGGTGATGTGTAAGCACTTCTGGCGTCCAAATGAGGATCATAAACCATGACAGGTTAAACATAAAAACAGACAAGGCAAGACAAGAGCTTGAGGAACAAATTACCATAAGCAATAACTTCTAATAAATTCTTCTTCTCACGTGTTAGAAAACTGCCAGAAAATGTGTAGGAATGGAGACAATCAAGAAGAAACACTCTGAGAATATAAACCCGAAGTAGAGTATCCAACTGAAATGGTTACTTTTTATTCACTGTGGAAGAGCGTGGGGGTTCCCATTAACACTCATCAAAGAATCAGAAGTGTCTTCAGAAGAACTGATGGAAGAAAGATCCACTCAGAAAGCGATGGCTCTGAGCTGCCTCCCCTCACTCAGAAATGTGTTCTTGGGTCTAGGAGAAACCTGTGGATATGTCAATTTAGAGCCCAGTACCAGTTAAAAAGAAAATCAGATCTTAGCAGTGGTTTAAAAAGGAATAGGGGACATCATTATTTCTTTTTAAAAATGCCTATTACTATATCCTGAGTCTGCTTAACATCTTAGAAAGGATATAGAAGGTCTGGGAATCATTCAAGATTAATCAGAAGTATGTAAGAGCTTCAGTAAAAGAATGACCACACAGAATATGAAGCTTCACGGCTGAAAAAAGACAGATGAAGAAGGGATACATTAGCAGTCTGAAACTAATGATTAGCACAGATGGAGTGCACTTTCCTCCAGAATGGGATTCAAGAGTATCAAATGAAACTAGCAGGTTAAAACCTGAAAAGGAAACCTTCACCATGCAGTGAACAACCCTTCAACTGTATGAGATAGATGCTAAAATTCAGAAAACAATTTAACAATTATGAGGGGAAAAGTATCCACCACAAGCTTCTGAATGCAAAGGCACCAACCCCGCCTTGAGAAATCCCTGTGCCACAAGCTGTTGTAAGCTGGGAGGCTGTTCTGAAAATGTATCACTACACACCAGCCTTGCTCTCACGTCCTTTCCTAAGCACCCACTGTTGTGGCGGGATATTAGATTAGATAAACTTTTGCCCTAACAGAGTAAATGTTGATGTCTTTTGATGCTGGAAAAAGTTCTGACCATAACTCAATGCCTTCATCACACTTCAGTATGTTGTTCCCAATAGCTTATCTCAGGCTACGGAAAACCCACCTTAGTCTTTTGAGATTGTGTCCTCTATTTCCTTCCTTTAATACATTATGGAGATCTATATTCAGATGTGATTGATGCTGTGATTGCCTGCATTTGTTCAGTTTACAGAATAACTGCTGATCATGCTGTTAAAAAGGGGGTTTGTAAGGACAGAGGAAGGCTTCACGTTTACTGTGTGTCACCTACGCACCTGAGGAGGAGCCCTGCTGAGGACAGGGAACAAGCTCAGCTTTGAAGATGTTTGTGAAGCACAGAGTAAAGCAAATGTAAATCCGTCATCACAGCGGAAGAAAGCAGGTGATCTTCCCTGGGTTACTTTTCTGCAGATGAGGGAACTCACCAAAAGATCAAACTCACCAAAAGATCAAACTTGTTTGCAGCTGAGTTCAGGGAGAATGTACAAGAAGAGATGCAGAAAATGAGGAGGCCATAAGAGTTTTTATGCATTCATTTTACCCACACAGCTCCTAAAGCTCTTGACTGGAAACTAAGCCTGAAGGAAGGAGTCCTACCTGGAGTTTAGAGAAGATAAGGAGGACATTTACCTTGGAATCATTTATTGTATCTATCTGACCAAAAAGGAGACTTCCTTTGATTTAAAAATAAAAAATAAAAAGGGAGAGAGAGCACAGCCAGCCCAGAACTGTAGCCCGCTCAGGTTTTCACTGTGTACTTTTTATTGCTATAATAAGGGCACAATATCTGGGCACGTTTAAGCTTCTGGTAGAACTAATTTTTCATTGCATGGCATTGAAAGTGATTTTACACCATTAAAATAACCAGACTAGTGGCCCTTAGATAGAGTTTGAAAACATAAGCAGTGACCATAATGAATAATTTATGCCTTTTTAAGAACTTTGAAACTGTGGACTTAAGGAAGTAAAGATGGTAATGGGTATTTTCAAGCAATCACTCATACACTTTTCCCATTCACATAAAAATCAGTACGAGCTGCTGATAATCTTATAGAGCTAAAAAGTTTTAAGGTAGATTCACCTGTGTTATTTCTTTTGAGTATTTATTGCATAACACATCCACTCCCATGAAAAGTGCCTGAATATCAGGATTTACCTACGAAGAAAAGAAAGTATACCAAGGTTAGTATTTTTATTTGCAAGTTATATTAAATAAAGCATTTTGTAAGGTCTTGCTTAAATTGATTGATGTATACAAATAAACAACCAGACAGACCATGAGTAGGATAATACAGAAATTGAAAACAAGCACAGTTTTCTTTAACGCCCTTATCAACCATCTGGAAGGCTTTTGTTTAAATATATTACACACGTATAGACTTACTCTAAGATAGTAACAATTTCCAGAGGACATTCAAGGAAGATGCCTCCTGGAAGAGGCAATGCCTCCAGACCAACAGCCAGGTTTCTGGAAGCTCCTCTTCAGGCTTTCTGGTTTCACCATCCGCAGCCACATGGGTGCATCTTATAATCAGTTTTGTTTCAAAGTCCTTTTTCAGAATAGTTCCAGTGCTGACTGGGATCCCTCTGTCTCTCCTGCCTGCTGGGCAGCAGAATGCCATTGTGGAATAAGACAAGAGGTTTTAAATCATAGCTGAATTTTTCAAGTATTTTATGATTTGAGATTTTTAATCAGAGATCATGATGTGGCTTCACAAATGGCCCTCTGTGCTTTTAGAAAATGCTCAGTAAGTGCTCTGTACCTAACCCATCATTGTATAAAGATATAGTTATTATTTATAGTGAGAAAAAAATGCTGCAAAATATAAAGTGAATTTCAGATTGATAGTGACATTTGGACATCTATCCAAAACTACAAAGCAGTGTAGATAAGTGTTACTTTAATCCCGAATACATGTATTCCTAATTAGTAAATCAATCCCAGAAGTACTAAAGAATCCTGAAAAACTCAAAAAATAGAAAAATTTTAAAAGATGAGTTATTGAAAGAAATAAGTAGGCCACCTGTGAATGAAGCATAAGTTTTCTGGGAGTCTAAGAAACCAGAGATGAGTGCAGACACTTAAATTAAAAATAATGCATTGAAATCAAAGAGTTAGGCTTTGCTCCACTTAGAAATGCACAAACCTCTAGAGGGGCAGAGACAGTATTTTTACCTACACCAAAAACATTTTAACACTGATATAAAGTCAAACACCCAAGACTAAATAACAGTTGTATTTGCCAAACCTATTTTTAATGTGTGCTTAAATTGTATCTCTTTAATAATAAAGGGAAATTGAGTCTCTAAAGCACGAGACATAATCATGTGAGGAGCTAAATTAATAAACCTGGATTTGCAATAGATTTGCACCTTCTGTTCTCCATATTCTGACATCAGCTACTCTGGTGTGCTGTACTCAATTCACCTGATGGTCAGCACCGTTTCCTCACGACAGCGCCGCACGCGGCTGCCAAACGCACTTCCCATTATTGATGGGCTGTCCTTGCATTCCCCTGGCCAGGGGAAGCAGGGAAAGCTGCTGTGCCTTGCTTTGCCCAGCTACTCATCTCTACAGAACTCACAGGAGGTAATTAATTGTATTTGAGACTTCCTCTGCTCTTTCGAATTTGGTTGACACAAGCCAAAGCGTTCAAAAATTTCCATGGGCTGAATGGACAGATGGAGAAAGAGAGAAGCAGACAGACAGACAGACAGACAGCACAGTCTAACCTAACCATGGTATTTAGGTAAAGAAAATACAAACAAGGAGAGAATACTTCATGTAGAAAATTAATATATTCATAAAAGTACACTTAGCATTGTTAAATGATCTGTATTCATAGGAGCCAAGCTCTTGCAATCTATTTAGGATTCTGTCAAAGCGATGACTTTGGTTTAAGTACCTACGGGATTTCAAAAAAATAAAACCCAACCAGCTTTATGCTGATGTAAAAACTCTTTAAAATAAAGGTTCCTATAACACTGTTTATATTTTATCTGTTGCACGGAGGAGTAGCAGATGTTAATATGATATTCCACAATAATGAACAGCGAGATTCTGATTTATCATAACGCTTAACCATCCTCTGGGGAAAAGCAAGTGGGGATCATGAGACATACAAGGAAGGTATAAAGGTGACAAGAATGCATTACTGTAAAGATGAGAATATTTAATGTGTAGATGGTGATTGCCCCAACATACAATTTAATTAGGAGTTTTAACACATTTATAGGACCTCCTCCTCATTGGGAATTCTTCCACAGCATCTAGCTCATAAAGCTTACCAGGTATATTTCCACTCAGGTTGCTGAATTATAGAGCCATGACTTTTTTATATGCATCTTTAATTATCATTCCAATCATTTTATCTGTTCTTAATCAAGGATAAGCAATCATCATTAATGTCTTTTTAAAAGAATATGGTAATTTGCTTCCTTTCAGCCCTCCAGAGCAGTGGCAGATTCTAATGAAACATCTAATATTTTTGTTCAGTATCCCACTCATTGCATTTTTTAATTCCTTTGGTATTTTTGAAGTAAATTATTAAGTTGTGTTGAAATACTGCAATTTAAGACTGATCTAACTTTAAAATTAGCTTTGTTTTGAGCAGGGTGGTGGACAAGATGACCTCCAGAGGTACCTGCCAATTTAAATTATCGACTGAAATTAATAACAAAACTTGCAGCCAGAGTAGGTTGATAATGAAAGCATATTAAAATATGTCCTCTAGTATTTTTATGAGAGGCTTTTTCAAATTTCTTTAATATTTGATTACTGTGTGCATTGTCCCCTTGTACGATGATTGCATTTTGTCATTTTGTTGTAATTTTTTTATTTTTGGTATCATTGTCTTCTTCACCCTAATTCAGTTCTGCAAGATTCTGTGTTTACAAATATGAAATATACTGTAACAGTTTTTTACTTTTTTAAATACAGCATATAGTAGTAGAGATTTCTGTATTTAGATATATGTCATCTCAGTTTTAAACACATCTAGAGAAATCATGCCCTTCTTCAAGGTCATCTCTTCAGGGTTAGTCCCAAACTGTCCTCTATTTCCTATACACGACTGCCTTATAGCCTAGGAGGACTTTATGTATTAGGTGTATTGAATCTGAGTGATTATTTTTAGTGTATTTACTCTATCCTGGAAAGGCAGGCTCTTGTCTCTTAGGTAGGCAGCAGTCTAGGAAAACATAAATGTTTTCACAACCTGTTTATGAAATCAGCTGAGGAGAAGATGGTTCCTGGGAGAAACGGAAAACTTAAATATTTCTAATGATTTATCAAGAAAGGGAAAAGCTCTTATTTCTCTAGTGAATAACAAGGATTCCCAACAACATTTCATATCCTCTCTTAATCACTCCACCATGAGGAAAATCATTAAGCTTAAGAGAAAACAGGGGGGAAAAACTACTTGAAAACATTGCTTTGCCATCATGCAGATTTTCGATTCAGTCCATTACCCAAAATAATTCATTACGGTTCATTTTCTCTGATGTACAAATGCCAAAATCAATAAACATTTTTCCACATTTTGAAAGCAGTCACTGATGTTATACACCAGCCAGTCACATTCCTTGAAAAGTTTAGAATGATTTACAGTCCAGAAGAACCTGAAAACCTAAAAAGTCTCCTCAGGCTTTAATTTGAAGCAATACATACAACTAAAAGCTGTCTAGTGCATAAGTATCTAAGTTTAACAATGTATTATCAGTAAATATTTATGTCACCGTTGGCAAATATAAAAGGGGAGCATTTTGTAATGCAAATAATTTACCTGTTAAGCAAACCACAGATCAATGTAATGCAACAATACTAAAGCTTCATTTACCTGTTTTGAAAGAACTAACGTCTGACAAGCAGTTTTACAGATCAAACATTCATCTTTTTTGCCTGTAAGGTAAAGACACATTTAAAATATACATCAAACTGAGTAGATACTGAATACATTGTAAATAGAACTCTGTGCCTAAACCTATGCGTGGAGCTTGTGGAAGAAATCTGCAGGTTATACGAGAAATGTGAATAAACATGAATAAAGAATTTGTTTCTTTAGTAACCATTACACAGAGTGGCAGAGGGAATACGTGTGTGAATGTCATCGGGTCTTACTCCTGCAAATAAGCACTCATGTAAATGATTTTATGAATATCATTAGTGTCACAGAATGCAGGTGACTTTTAGTTCCGTTGATTTAAATAGGACTACTTGCCTGGTTTAATTAAATGTATGCTTAAGTGCACTAATGACTTACAGTCAACCAGATATACGGCTTTTTAGACCGGGGCCCAGTATGCTTCTCTCAATAAAATACATGAGACCTTAACATCAAAGAATTAACAATTTTACCTTGTGAATTCTTGCAGTGAGAAAATAATAAAATCTCTTTTTAAAACTTGGTAATTTTTCAACTGTCTCTTTATTTGCAAACATACTACAAAATATTTATAGCAAATGCATATTATTACACTTTTTATCGTTGGTAATTTTTACTATCACAGAATACGACTCTGGAATGGTACGTGACACAAGAGCTTCAAAACATCACCTCCAATCCTCCCTCACGCTGCCGAAAATTTTCCAGTAACAACACTGAGCTTTAAAACATCTTAAGACTACTTGCAAAACCTGCCCTAAACAAATCCTACGTGGTGTAAATCGCCCTTTCCCAGGATAAAAAAGCATGCCCTTTTCCAAATCAGCCAGAAGAGAACGCCTTTGTTTGTTTGTTTCACAACCTTACGAATCATAAGCATCCAGAATAGAGTGTTATTAAAGCCTCCAATTTCCCGTGCCCAGGGCTTGCTCTCCAAGCCGTATTTACCTGGAGGTGGACACCAGCGGGCTTTAGTATTTAAAGAAAATCAACAGCAAGGATTGAAAAGGTTTATCGACAGACAAGAAGGAATGCTCAGGCCCTTCTCTTTTTTTCCACAGCGAGTCAGAAACACGAAGGGTAAGGTGAGGGTGCGCACGCCAGCACTGCCCGGCACAGCAGCCATTACCTTTCTGGAGGCAAACCTCGCAGAAAACGTGGCCGCAGCTGGTGAGGCAGAACCGCGGCGTGGGCTTGCGGGGCTCGCAGGAGCAGGAGTTGCAGAACACCCGGAGGGCCATGGGCCGGAGGGGCAGGAGGGCCCGGCAGCGAGCCGGGGGCCGGGGCAGACGCGGTCCCTCCTCAGGGCGAGCCCCGCGGGCGCAGCTCCGCCATCGCCCGCCCGCCTGAGGCGGCCCCGGGCGAGGTGAGGCGGGATCGCCCGCCCCGCCGCGGGGCCTGAGGGCGGCGGAGTTCGACCCTCACAACCCCACTAAAAAAAGTTGTATTTTCTGGCCTCTCGCTGCCAACCTGGAGCGGCGCCCACCCAGATGGTCCTCTGCGACTCTCCCCTTCCTTTCCACAAAGACTAGCAGAGAATTTAAAAATCTTAGGAAACTGCCTTTTTTTTTTTTTTTTTTTTTTTTTTTTTTTTTAAGATTTTTGTTTTAGATTTGGGTCCCTAAGTGGGACCTAACTAGGAGAAAGAGAGCAGCTACTGCAGCCAGCATGAACTCAACACGAATGACCCAGCTGCCAACAGGTGAACATTTCTCACAGATCAGTCCCCTCCATCTCTGATCTCACAGCCTGGATGCTCAAGGGAAATCTAAAAAGTTACCTTATAAACATGAGCCTGGGAACGAAAAATTCATAACTACAGAAACCCGAGGACTCCAGATTAGTTTTATGATATATTATAAATTCTCCCCATTAGCCTTTCCATCTTTTATCTTCCTTCCTTCCTTCCCCACCTAGTAAGTCTTTTAGCATCTCACCTTCCCCTGCTCTCGCCCCCCCCATGGGTACTCAATCAACCCAATCCTGACTTCAACTCAAATGCTGCCTCAGTCACTGAGTCCTTCTTCTAGATTTAGCTTTACATCTGTAGAGGGGGGAAAGAATACCTGACAAAAGATGGGGTTCAAGGGGTAAAAATGTTAGGGGAAGACAAAGGTTGTGACAGAGAGAAACCAGAGTTAGAATCAGAGTAGGGGATGAGAGAAGCTTGAGAGTTACATACAAACAATTTTCTCATAGGTGCAGGGTGTCTTCCTTCAGCTGCTCGATGTTACATGGGGCGCAGTTTTTGAATCTGAGCCTGACCCTCATAGCCTTAAAAGAGGTTGTTTTTCTCACCTCTCACTACCAAAGTAGAGCAGTGCCCATGCAGAGGGTCCTCTGAGAGATTCCCCCTCCCTTTCCCAAATGTGGGGAATGGACCTGGACCCTCAGTGCTCCAGGCAGGGGCTGCAGCAGGAGCCCCATCCTCCTCATTCCTCCTGGGCCAGCAGGTGTGTGGAAAAAGGTTGTGGATTCCACTCCCTTAAATGCAGGGATCCGGGAAGCTTGTTAATTTGCTGTCACAGCTTTGCTATGGCATCTTTCAATGAGGAAAAAGAGCAAAACAAGGAGTTTTGATTTTCATTTCTTAGACAAAACAAAAACAAACAAAAAAAACCCCCACAAAACAAAAAACAAACAAACAAAAAACCAAACAAGCAAAAAAACAAACAAAAAAAACAATAAAAAAACACCCCACAGTTTGCTAGTTTCCCTTGATGAAATTTTTAGGAAAAAAATCTCTTGCAGACCTCGTTGCAGTGCAGGCTGTAACTCTGGGTATGTCAGAGCCACAAACTGCAGAGGAGGATCCTCTGTCTTTTAACTTCACGAAGGTTACTGCCACCAAAGTGCTTCCCAAGAGTTGCGATTCAGCTTTTGCTTTATAGAGTTAATTAAAAATCTTGAAGGACACTGAAAACATTTCATCAAAGCAAAGATATTTAATGGCTATTATTCTTATTATTATAGATAAAGAACTAAGCACTCTCAAGCTATTTTCAAGGCTCTGAGTCTCAGTGCTGGTTTGAATATAGGCCTAATTAATAGAGAGAAACACAATCAGCTCCTTTATAAATTCTGGTGTAGTGCCTGTCCTGGTTTAAAAGCCTAAGTGTATTGTGAGTGAGATGAGCTAAGTTTGGCATTGTGATGTGGTTAGAAGCCTTACACTAAATATCAGCTAAAGTCTGAAACACAACCTTGTAGCAACACTTTATTAAACTTTTTTTTTTTGGACTTCATATACCATATGGTTGTAACACATATTTCCTTCTTTCCCACCACCAAAGATACTTTTAAAAGACAGGTTGTGAATGACTGATCTATGAAAGTAAAGCTAATAAAACTTATTTACTGGTCATTCCAAGTGACAACTCCAAAGTCTCAGAATTTTTAATGCGGGACACACCTCAGTGAGTAGCTTTATGAGATTTTATTTTGATTGATTTGGTCTGTAGAACATTGCTTTTTGTCTCTACTTTGTTTCAATTTTATGGATTTTCACAGCTGTATTTTCATTCCTGTACTGGAAATGTAAGTCAACTCATAGGTCATTTCCTCGCTAATGAAAACAACAAGTGAGAAGGTAGAAAAAAGAAAGAAAGCAGTGCCTTTAAAACAATAATTGTTTACAGATTTTCCAGCTTTCACTACCTTTTAGACTAGCAATGGGTCTAGAAAGAGAAGTAGGAAACCAAACCATAATATTCTGCTATCACAGTGCTCTAGAAACTTGTTCAAGTTTCATGTTTTTATATGTGACTACCTCCAACTCCTCCTTACGCTACCGCTGCTTTGTCAAGCTAGTTATCTGGATTTTTAACCACAGTTTTTGACTTCTCATTGTATGGTACCATAGTTACACTGCTAGTTGTACATAAACTCAGTAAATTAAGGCATAAAGATATATACAATCAAGCTGCAATAAGTGAAATGGAAAATTAAGTCAAAACCTGGTAAGTTCCTTAGGCTGCCATATTACAGTTGCTGAATAATTAAAGTTAGAAAAATTCTCAGCACAGAAACAGACTGAAGAATTTTCTGCAGGAATGAATTAAAATAAAATATATAGGCATTGTTTATGAAAAAAACTTGTAATTTGGTTTACTTTGGCATACTTCATAAAGACTATAATTTACATGAACAACTGTGGGAGATGTCTGGTCACCATTCTAGAGCCTCATGTTTAGGGCTTATCTGGAAGTGAAAAATAAGTACAGCTCCAAATTGTCTTGGTCTCTCTCTTCCATGGTAATTGCTGCCATCACTGATGAGTTCAAACTTTGCATATTTTGAAAGAAAGCAGTCACAGTTACGTTTAGGTGTTACCCACATATAGATTGAGTTCAAGACACTCTCACCAGATTAAGCACCACAGCAGATATGGGTTATTTCTCTGCCTACTCTCTGAATCCTGGTCAGTCTGAAGTGCTGAACTCCTTGTGGTAGTACTAAGTAAAAGTAGAGAAATTTTAAATTTTTTTTAGATTTCTAATTTAGATATAACAATCCTGAGCTGAACTTGAATGATGCCTTAGTGACTGAATCCTTTTTCTAGATTTAGCTTTACATCTGTACAGGGGACAAAAAGCTGATAAAAGATGGGATTCAAGGAGTAAAATGTAAGGGGGTGCAAGAGGTTGTGACATAGATGGAGAAATCAGAGTTAGAATCAGAGTAGGAGATGAGAGAAGCTTGAGAGTTCTATACAACCAATTTTCTCATGGGTGCATGGGATGTTCAGTGTTACATGATGTGCAATTTCTGAACCTGTGCATTTACTTTATAGAATTTAAACAAGCTTCTTTGCTATAAAGAAATCTCTGAGCGATTTGATTTGCCAGATTCCAACAGAGATGAGGGTTAGTGTTTGTACTATAGCCCACCACAAAATATTGCTGTTGGTTTCTTCACTTGTCTTCCGAAATTTTTCTTCACGTTCCTGAAGAATAAAGGAGAATAAAAGCGTAATTATTACCTTTTGGCATCTACATGTTTCATGCTGCTATCCAGGTAACTAGACAGGCATCTCTTTTCTGCTTAGTGGTAAACAAACACTTCTTTTTGTGTTGATAAAAGTGGAAGTTTGTGTTTATCCATATGGTGGGTATCTTTACAAACCAAAACTGAGAAGCAGACACGCTGTACCCTCTAGCAGAAAGGCAAACAGAACTTCCTTTAGTCACAGAAAAGATATTTTGCTAAAAATGTTCCATTAGTACAGGCTTTAACCTTCTTACGTTTACAGTCACATATTGCTGTCGAGAACTCTCTTGCAGCCAAATTTCTATTTTTAGGTGACTAGTCGATGTATTTCTAACACAGTCTGACTGCCTGCGTATGAATGGAAAAGTGAAGAGAACGGCTGTACACTCGTTTGAAGGAGGGCTTTATTTCTAACTGCATGGAGATAGATAAACATACACTCAGTCACTCCCTTCCCCACTCCAATAAAGTTTATGGACATAGACCAGCATGGAAACAACAGCTGGAGACATCGCCCACAGCGGTACCTGCCACCTGCTCAGCTGCTGGGGCTGACTCTGGCCAAGAACACTCTTATTTGGAAAACCCTGCTTCAAAATAACACCTGCTGCTATAAAATAACACCTGTTGCTATAAGCATGAGTTCTCGCTCATTAATTAGCTTTTAGGTTACTGCTTAAAAATATTTTGCAAGGTAATAGACACTATTTTGGTTAAATACCAATAGATTTTTATGTGTTAGTTAAAAATAACACTGCAATTGAATAATAAACCTCGTAATACTTAATAAAACAATAAGGCTATGTACAATATTTTTTAACATTTCCGTTAGGGAACATACATACTCTTTCATAGTCTTGTTCTTTGGATACATGCTGAATTTGCTCAATTAGATGTTCTAGTCTGACATTAACTTCATCCACTTTTTCTTTGGCTTGAACAGCAGATTCATCCAAAAAGTGCTCTCCAACTCTAATGTCCAAATGGAAACGCTGCAAAGAGAAAATATATTCTCATTTCTGTGTCTTCTACTTTTTCAAAATTCCTTACTCAAACCAAAACCTTATTAAAAATAGAACCACTGAAAGAAGAGCGAAGAACAGAACTTGCAATATTGTGCAACTTCTTTTATCATGAATGAAAAATTTTGCTAAAACAAAGAGGAGGAAGTTCTCCTAGAAACCAGTTTGTACCTGAGAGAAAATAAAAAGGTTTTAGTCAAACAAATAATCTGCCAAAACCTATAACTTGATATTACCATGGTAGAAGTTGGATCTACTCAGACATCAACCACAAATGAAAAGCAGATCTTTCAGCTGTCTTGGAATTAGCTGACTGTACAGCTAAAAATCCATCTCACAGCCTTATCATCCATTAATTTATTTATTTTGGTTTGAAGGAGTTCAGGTAACCATCTGGTTCTTACAGAAGACCACAGAAAGATTTAACTTAGCTAAAGAATGTTTTTCTTTTGTGACCTTTGTTCCTGCAGGTATAATTATAAAGAGCAATATTTTCCTTTTTTATTTCTGTGTTCTGAAGCTAAACAAAGTATCTTAGTTAATATTTGTGATATTAATGTTCTCCTTCCCTCCATCTGTTCACTTTTTTAAATAGGATGACCAGAACTCTACATGGTGCATGCATCATGTAAAATCATATTAATACAGCTCTATCTATACCAGATAAAAATCACTTGCATATCCTCAGAATCACATTCATGTTGTGTAGTTAACAATGACCAACCAAAGCTTTATCCCTCTTGACCTCTTTAGTTGATAAGCTCCACAATTTTTTTTTTTATTATTAGAACCTGAGTGCTTTTGCAGTGTGTATGATTAAATTTCCATTCATTTCTATCAATCAGTCTGTAAGAACACCTAGTTATTCCAGAATAATAATCCCATTTCTGTACTGTTAATTCTTCTCATTTCTGTGTCACCTACGTGTTCCCAGAGTACACAGCTTGCATGAAATTTGACCTACCTCAACAAATTTACAAGATGTTTATATTTAGCTGGTTATCTAACTCTTTTGCAGTCAACTGAGTTAAAAAACAAACAAACACTCTAGAGAGTAATTCAACTGTCTTTTGGGCTAAGGCACATAGTTTCAAAACAGAATTTATAAATTTTTTTGCTGGAATAGAGCGATGATACCACCTCTAATAGGATTTTTTCTTTTCTTCCCAAAATCTGCCTTAAGACCAGCTTTGCTGGTAGTAGATGATAACAAGTACACTAATATATTCTTCGTTTGAATATCTCTCAGAAATTGAAATATTAAATTTTCATTAGGAATTCAATCTAAGTCAGTGAAGACATGGAACACCTTCATGACAAGTGTTTGTGTTAGTCAATCATATATATCAGTCTTTTTGAGTGAAATTAGTAGTTCTTATTGACCTAAATCACATTCAAGGCACTTTAAAAACATTAAATCTCTCTATCATTATTAGCCTTGCCTCTTGAAAACTGACTTCTTAAATAGAACAGAGTCTTTTTATCCCTTCATCTACATAATTCTGAGTTTGTCTTCTTTAATCACTAGGAAATGTTGGATTATCTGCTAGAAGTTAGACCAACTTCTAAACTAGTTTGTAATCTCTGTGATTTGTAAACAATTTATAGTTACAACAAAGAATATTTAAGAAATATACCTACCAGTTTACTTCCTGCAAATGTCAGAAGTCTTGTGGAGTTCGACTGGAAACAGATAATGTGCTCCCCAGAGAGATGGGATGTAAAAGAAAATGTTCCTTGTGGCCCATACAGTTTTGACAATAGTACCTGCAATTTAAATTTTATATACCTTGGTTTGTAAATTGTAAATACCAATAAAACTATCAAAACAGTGCTGTGAATTGGATGCAAAAAATCGATTTGCTAAATCAGTTAGCATCCTGACATCATTAAATTTATCTGAATTTCAGGGTAGATTTAGAGAAAATTAAACTGGTTTTAGTTCACAGTGAACACTGAAATGTCAGAGAATTCTGCAGTGTGCAAAACCAATGCTCTCTAAAGCATGCAAAGTTTGAAAACTAAGACCTCATCTAGGCACAGAAATAAATTATTCATTGCTGGAAAAGCTCAGGACCTCATGGCCACACAAGCAGCTGCTCTGCATGAGAGCCACACCCAGCCTCGGGAAGATCTCAATTTTCACAGTTTTGTTTATCATCAACCTTCCTTTCTGCTGCACAAGTACATTCTGTACTGTTTTACTTCATTAGTGAATTGTCTTTTTTTTTTTTTTAATTTAACTTGTTTTCTCAGTTGTCACTTACTGTTCTTAATGACATACTTTCCCAAATCTGATAGTAATGCAAATATAGACCATGCACATAGTTATCAAATATCATCATTTCTATTTACTTTGGTAGAAATCAAGAGGTTCTTAAACCTTTCAGCATCAAAATACCAAACTGGCTGGTAGACTTAGATCTACTTTTTATCCAGAAGTGCCTTTTATTTTTAGATAGGGCTGCCTGCCAGTGCCAGAAGTAAACACACAAAGCCTACAGAGACATTCATGGAGCATATTTACCTCACCATCAGGAGTTGAGACAGTCACATACATTCCCAAACCGGGAGCAGATTCAAGGAAGTCGTGTTTATGTGTATCCCAGCGTTGTACTTTGTAATTCCCTGAATAAGAACATGGGTAAATCCATTAAATAAAACATAGCTTAACGTTAAACATCTTCATTGCTTTTTCAGGAAAAATATAAAGATAAATGATTATCATTAAAACAATATGTGTATTTCATGTGTTTGTGATTAAAAGTGCTCAGGGGCACTTTACAGTAGTGTGAAGTGCAATAAATTTTTACTACACCAGATAATGTTCTAGAGTACTACAAATAATGGTTAATTAACAAGAAATACTTTCTGATTACTCCTAAAGCTCTGGCAAGGTTAACCTCCAGAAGGCATGCTGAGACCCCCAAAAGCATATTGTGCCATACTCAAATTACTTTTTTTGGATTTTCTTTCATATTTATCTCATGATTTATTAAAGAAAAAGAATTTTCTGTGTTAATTTTTAAGAATATCGCCTTGAAATCTTACATGTACAATCCTCTAGATTAATTTAATGTGCTTGTGGTATCTCAGGTGAAATGAAACGTTAGTACATCTTGAATTGTTTCTTTCCAGACCAGCATTAATCAAAAAAGTAACTCATTCATATGGGAAAAACCATGTTATGGAAATTCTATTATGATTACATCAGTCAGAATGTATAGAAGCACACATGGAAGCAGCAGTTCTACAGCCCTAGAATTAAAAGACATTGTTTAGTCAGTAAAGCACTCTAAACACCTGCATTTTTTTGGGTGATGGACACACACAGTACATGAGGACTTTATTCCTACTCCCTGCTGTGGGGAGTGATTTTTAGAGTGCCCTTTCCTTAGCACTAATGTTTTACCATATTCAACAGTCACAGAATTTCTTGTTACATTAAAATTTATCTTTATTATTGCATAGGTTAGATAATCATAGAGCACTGACAGGTACCTACCAAATACCAGCGTGTCGCTGGGAAGATCTTCAATTACACATTTCTCTTCTCTTTCTCCAATGTGAAAATACAAAGCAAGTGAAAAAGAAATCCAGAAGTTCATCAATAATCCTATTAATTGGCTTTTCATGGTTTGGGTTTTTTTATATCCCTGCTGTACTGCTTTTGAAGAGGAATAGTTACATACAAATGCCTGTAGTCCTGTGGTTGTTCCTTGTTTGTTTCTTATCAGTGTATTTTTGAGAGAGAAAAAAACCGTGAGAAAGGGCAGCTGGTGGTTACACATTTATAAATAACTGCAATATGTTCTGGAGGATGAGATAACATGAAAAAGACACCTTGTAAAATCTTTCTTCTTTCCCAGCATTTAGATTAAAATTTTATTTTATACACTTATAAAAGCATGAAACTGAAAGGACCTCTCAGGTACTTGAGATCAGTTCCTTAGATTGTTGTAAGTAACCACACTGGCTATCTCTTTCCAAAAACTGCTCAATTTTCAACTCAAATGAAGTTGTTAAGTTGTATTTCCCATTTATTCTGGGTGATTATTCCAGAGCTTCACTCCTTTTTTATTAAGAAGTCTTGTAATTTCTGTCCTAAATCACTGGACAAATGTATGCACCTGCATAAAACCACAGGGACTACATAAAAGGTCTGGAAGAAATTTAGAGAAGTCAAAAGAACTTGAACAGTAAAAGAATCTGAAACATTAATGAATGTGATACTGACAGGGAAAAAATAACAACATTAACACTTTCAGAATAAGATTTTCTTATATAAGAGTGTCTATTTCTTAGACACAGTCTAGTAAATTCTATATAGAAAGCTGTAGATTAACTTGAACAAAGACTGAGGTTTTATTTTTATCCTATAGATTTTTATCTATATAGACCAATATAGACTCAAATGTTCTTTGTCTTATAAAATGAGATCACCGTGTCCGAAAAGTTGGCCTCAATGTCAGAGGATATGTGGTCATTTTCCAGCGGGGAGGACCCACTTGTGATGGTGGAAATGTGGGATCATTTCTAGTAGGGAGCTCATTTGCTGTTTCAGAAGCTCACTAGGCTCCTGTTGAAGGGTCTGTAGTTTGACCTCAGACTGCCCAGCCCTGCCACTGTCCTCAGCAGCACCTGGCATTGGCAGGACGATGGTTCAGAGATGCCCTTGAATGTGTCTTTGATGAACCTCTCTCTTGACTTCTGAGTTCTGTCATCTTGACTTCAGGGTGTGGGATGTAAACAACCTCAGCTGCACACACAGGCCATATATGTAGGACACAGTGCCACAAGCAGGAAAACATTCCTTGATGGAATTTTACCAACATTTATTTTGCTTGAAAAGGTGGAATTTGGATTTTATTTTATGTTTTATTTTTATATACACCAGGCTGTTCAAAGCCCCATCCAGCCTGGCTTTGAACATTTCCAGGCATGGGACATCCACAACTTCTCTAGGAAAAGAAATGTTTTGCAAACCTGTAATCTAAACCTGCTTTCTTTCTGTCTGAACCCATTCCCCCTTTTTCTGTCACTACATATCCTTGTGAAAGTCCCTTTCCATCTTTTTTGTAGGCTTCCTTCAGGTACTGGAAGGCTGCAATTAGGTCACCCTGAAGTCTTCTCTTCTCCAGGCTGAACAATCCCAATCCTCTCAGCCTTTTCTGGAAGAGAGGTTGCCATTGAAGACTGAGGAAAAAAAGTTGTTGAGTATCTCATCCTTCTCCTCATCCATTGTACCCTTTTTCCATCATTGTTTATTGGATGGGTACACCTTCTTTGACTTTCCTTTTCTAGCTAACATATGTGTAGAAGCTCTTCCTGTTATTCTTTATGTCCCTTGCTGGGTTTAATTCCAGCTTCATCTTGGCCTTCCTTGTCCCATCCCTGTACAACTTAATCTCTGTACTCTTCCCAGGTTACCTGTCCTTGTTTCAGCTGCCTGTTCATTTGCCTCTTTGCCTTTTGTTTGATCAGCTGGTCCCTACAAAGCCATGCCCATCTCTTGCCTTCCTTGCCTGATTTCCTGCTCCTGGGCATTGCTAGCTTTTGTACTCTATGGAAGACTTCCTTAAGGATCTGCCAGCTCTGTTCTGCTCACTTGTCCATGAGGGCAGTTTCCCAGTGGATCCTACTGACTATCTCCTCAATGAGCTGGAAGTTTGCTCTCCTGAAGTTCAGGGGCTGAACTTTGCTCCTTACCTGACCCATATCCCTCAGGCCTGCAATTTCCAATGCTGCATGATCCTTGAAGCCTGGGCTGCCTCCAGTGTTGATGTCCCCAATTAACTCACTTGCATTGGTGACCGTCAGGTCCAGTGTCACATCCCCTCTGGTAGGGCTGTCTATTCCCTGCCTCAAGAAGTTATCCTCCAATCTTTCATGTGATCGCAGTTCACCATCTTTAAATTCCTTTAGGTATTGGAAAATTGTTCTCAGTAATGAGGTACCTTATTCCATTATAGGAACTTAATTTGGTGTTGATTATTTTTGTAGGGCCACAGTTTAATTCTGTGATGACTTTTTGACTACTACACTTCCCTTTAACCATGTCTTCCGTTCTGCAAGAATATCTGCCAAGGCATCAAAGCTGATCCTTCCTATAAAACATTCTTGAAAAAAAAAATGTCTTTACAAACCCATTTCAAGCTTCCTCACGAAGTGCTTTCTGAGATTAGCTTAACCCAGGAATTAATTTGCCCATTTCCTTCCCTAAATCTTATGCATTTAGGACCACAGCATCTCGGCTGCCAGCCAGCTGTAACACTAGTTGTAAAGGAAAAGGAAGGAAGAGCTTCTTTGTGTTTCTTCGTGGTCCCCAGATTTTTAAGAGAATTCCAAGACTGCAGAAAGCAAAAGCTACAAGGTCCTAGCAATATCCACACAGGGATAACATACCTCACTAATCAGTTTAATAATGATATATTATGAGAAATATGCTCCATCATTAGAATGTGCTTCACTCACTGTATCCATAGTCTTGCCAAGTAATGACTCCATCCCTGGGATTTGCAAAGGGAATACCTGGAATGATCTGTGGCCAAACACTGTATAACCAGAAGGGCATCCTTAAAGAATGTTATATGTACCAAGGTCTCCTGAAGTCACAGCTTACAAAAAATCCCATATCCAGGTAACTGGCTGAATGGAAAACTTCTGCTTTTGAAGGAACCTGAACTGAATATTCATGTATTAAAGACTCTAAAGTAGCAAAGCTATATATCACTGACTGGAGTTTCCTGAAGTGTGTTGGCTTGTTACATATTCACTTCTCTTTCTACTCCACCACTCCCACTCATCCTTTCTCCTTCCTCTGGGAAACTTTTGGCTCCAGGAGCTGAGTAAACACTGGGCTGCTCCACTCTCAGTTCTTTTCTTGTAGGACTGAAATCCCAAATTCAGGTCATATATACAACTGAAAATTGCAAATGCAGATATTCTTTTACTGGACCTGGCCCTTTATTTGCTCTGGGCATGTGAAGAAGCAAAACTCTAATGTTAAGAGAACTTGGAGAAATGTACCTCCAAGGATACCTTGTGGTTTGTGGGTTTGTTTTTCCTAAGGCATAATTTAGACTTGAATCTGATATCTGCCCAAAGCCTTTACTGAGCTTAATTTGACACTCAGCAATCAATAATTTTGAAATTAGTTCCTGTCCTCAGAGAGTATTTAAATATATATTTCCATGTATGCATAGGTTTTCTGAGATGATGGTAAATCTGTAAATATACAGTAGATAAGTGTAACAGAAAACACAGAATGGTTAACATTAATATAAAAAGAAGAAAGAAAAATATTGATAGGTAACTAAACACAAAATAGCGTAGTAACACTATTCCCATTATAGAGTGGAAGCAGTGGAACCTGAAAAAAAAACCCACCAGATTTGATAAAAAGAGTAAGTGAAACGATTTTGAACAACAGGCAATGGTGGGAGTCTGAAGAATAAGAGATGCAATGATTCCTACATTGAGCTCTAAAAACTATGTTTAACAGCATTTGGAGGAGCAACTAAGTCTAGTCTGATAAAGTTTCAAATTTATTTCAGTCTTTGCAAGATTTGTCTCATGGAAAGAAATACAGACAACCTGTTGAATATTTCAGCCCTATATACTATATACAGTGTAGTCCTTTAAGGACATGAGAAATTATCTTGTATTTGGCATGTTCCTAAAAGATCCTTCTCAAATCAACTCTCCTGTTCAATATCTGCACTGTATATTTGTGACATTGCAGTATGCTGCAAAATTTTTGTGAGCTGACTGTGAACTTATTCTACTGAGTAGATATAATTCCAAAATTCTTTTCCTGTTTGGTAGCCACAACTCTTCATAAGCCATATGTTACATTCATTTTATAACAGTTATTTGAGCACTAAAACTTGCAGTCAGGAACACTTTTTGGCATACTGTGTTTTGTTATCATCGTGTATACCTGAACTTTAGATACTGTTAAAAAATTGCTGAGTTTTCTCTGTAAAAAGTGTTAAAAAGAGCAAATAACAAATAGCAGCAAACACATTTAAAGAAACATGGGCAATATTTACTGCATATATAAACGTAAGGATATAATTTATGTAATGGTCAACACTAATAACTTTGAGATAGTTGTCTCATGAGTGACACACACCAACAATCAGTTTTTGAATCTCAACTAACACATTTAATTCAATTCAGAAGTTTTCTAGTAGTATCCACACTTCTGTATTTTTCTAGTAATTTTGTTGGCTGAGTGTACACATGGCAGTGATTCTTCTCACTTTTGAGAAAAAAAAATAAAAAGACATTTTCATATGTTCCTAAGTCCCAAGACAAGTTTACTCACTTCAACTATTATCTTAACCAAGCTGCAAATATCTGGTCACTCTGATTTATGTAAGTAGTTTCTGAAGAAATGCATGTTAAGCATGTTTAGAAAGACAACAAAAAATGCCAATAAATTATAAAAACATAATTTAGGTGAAAAAATTAATTTCTAAGTATAAATATCTGTAGGTAATCAAATTACAGTATTTAAGAAGGCTATTAGTTTAGATTTTGTGGTTGATTTTTATGCATGTGAAGTACAATGTTTCTAAATGTCTTCTTTTCTGCCACTAGAGGGTACTCCAAGAACTTACAGTGTATTTGTAGGAAGGATTTATTCGGGGGTTTTTG